TTAAGACACCGAAGAAGCTCGACTGTTTTTTTTTTTTTCTGTCGCGAATCCCAGTCCATCCTTTCGCACTCGATTCTCGTCGTGCTCGATTTCGCGGCACGAAACGTGAAATCCTCAGAAGGATTGGATCCTCACTTTCGAGGTTCTAGGATCGAAGGTGACGCGCTGAGCGCCACACCTGGCACGCTACAGTCATCTCGACTCGCTCTGCGAATGCACAGTCGGTTCTGAGCTTGGGTCCGGGTCCGAGTCGTCGATGGACACCCCCTGTTGGGGCACTTGCATCGAGTAGCTTGGGCTCCGATCGTTTCTACAAATGGATTTGTAGAATCACTTATGTGACTTACAATCGTGGATTGTATCTTTTGAGAAGATGTGATCAATTTGGATCTTGGAAATGACAGTGATTTGTTGTGGACTGATGCAATAGATTGTAAGTGATATCCTTTGTGGAGTTTAAAATGATACTGTGATAGTTTTTTTGTTGACTAGATTGTTGTGATAGAAGGTTAGGTATGATATGATAGTTTGCTTGTAGAGAGTAAATTTTATTGAGATATAGATGTTGTGAAAAGTGAATTGATATTATTATCAAAAGCTTTCATGTTGGATAGTTTACAAAATGAAAGATTGGATTGATATCACAGTGATATTGATTTAGTTTGTATTGGAAGATAGATTGATACTATATTTTATTAGAAAATGGAGAATTTTTGATACTAGATTGTTACTACAATAGTTAACTATTACCAACTTATTGTGGAAGGTTAATTGATTGCCATATTGGTTTCCTGTTGAACTATGATATTAATGGCATAGTTTGTTGGGTGTCTTATTGTGAAGGATAGATTGTTATGGGAAGTTAGTTGAGATAATATTAAAAGTTTTAGGAAGTTTGTAGTGTTTGATGAAGTTAGAGATTTGCAAATAAAATAAAATTAAATAGCAAACAGAGAATCATGTTTTCAATTGAGTCAAAGTTGAACAATCAGTTGAGTCTATCGTTAAATCATATTTGCATAATTAATTGAGAGAGATTCATGATTTAGATTCATGACTTGATTCGAAAGAGATTTATTTTCACTCACCTGATCGCTAATTGACTTCCATCGCTGCCGCGTCTCAAAGTGTTCGTCCGCCGTTTGCAGAAACACTTGCAGATGATACTTTTGAACGCAAACCGGAAGTCTTTGCTAAATAGCGCGTAGATACACGGATTTATTGCGGAATTGCAGTAGCCTAGCCAAAACAGTACGCTAAACACAGTGGGGTGGATGCAATTGCGGCAAAAGGCGCGCACCAAGTACATTGTGAAGAACGGAAGCCAGCAGAGGATGAACCCGCCGACGATGATGCCCAGTGTCTTCGCTGCCTTCGTCTCCATTCGAAATCTCTTCACCTGGATCATTATAACAACTTCATGTATTCTTTAACATATATATTCTCTGCAAATTTTTCACAATCATTCTTTATAATTCTTTATTATTCTTTTTTATCATTTATTTACTTATAATTTTATATAAATCAATCAAACTATAATATTAAATTATACATTGATTTTAGAATTAGTATCTATAGTTTTACATAAATTATTAACAGCACAAATGTTTATTAGTGTTCATTTTTTACTCTCTCTTTCTCTTTCTCTCAATATAATTCAATTATTAGACATTCTATTAGATCAATCAATTACACTCTTTTCAATTTTCAATATTTCAAAAGATTGTGCAATACCTGAGCTTTAATATTTCTCTTCCCCATCTTCATCACCCTTGGTTTCTCCTCGGTGCCTTGAGTGAGCTCCCGCAACGACATCTCATCACCCATCATTTGACTCTCGCAGCTGTTCCTCCTGCTAGGTCTTCTGGTGCTTCCAACCCTGTTGATGCCGCTCACCTGTCGCGAACGTATCGAGACCACGTTTAACGACACCGTTCCCTCGATATTTTCCTCGAGAGACACACTTCCAACGTGTCACCAGAATTTTACGATTTCACGATCGTGAAATCCGTTTTCTATCGTAAAATCGAAACCCATTTTCGCTACGCTCTGTTCGTTCTGTTCGCTATTTTCAGGGTTTTATCGGATGTCGCAAAGATAGACAAATTATTGATTCGAGGCTATTGGGAGAGGAGAAGTTGAGAAATTTTTTTTCTTTTTTATTTATTTCGTAAGAAAGCCAAGAAAATTTCTATCGTTTCTTTCATGGTAGAATAAAGGAAAATGTAATTGTTGTTTCAAAAATATTTAATCTAACGATTGTTGTGACGTAAAATTGGATGTGTGATAGATTGTGCACGTGCAAGATTTTTCTTCTTCAATTCTTCTATTCTCTCAAGGCTTTTCTTTCAGATTATTGTATAAGCTACGAAAAATATTTACGTATATTTTCCAATAAGATCTTTTTATCAGGCTCTATATTTCTTTATTATTTATAGTCACATGAAAATCAAATTTAAATAATAAAGTGATAATAGCGTTAAATGATAAACAATTCAATATATAAATTAATATAAATTTTATAATAAATGCAATAATATTTTTGCATTTATTATATTTTTTATTAAACTTAGACAATAATCTTCAAAATTGAAAATAAAGGATGATACTATATATTTTATTATTTTTTTCTTCCACTACGAAAAAAAAATGATAAATAAATTTTCTTTTCTGATCATTATTTGATAAGTTGATGGATTTTTCGCTTCACCGAGATTAATGAATGAATTTTGAAATAACATGTGACTTCTTTTTTATGGCCAAGAGTTAAAGATGGAAAAAGCTGTGGACGGATTTTTATTCGTGCAAAGCTCTTGGACAAAGATTTCGAGGCGTTGATGCATATTTATGGCGCCCTGTAAACGTTCTCTGACTCCTCTCTTTCGCGCGATTTACATTTCAGAAAATTTAATTGCACGAGAAAAAAGGAGGACAAAGAGTATTTCGATTTCGATTTTTTCGAAGAATTATTTTTTACATATTATATAACAAATTGATTACCATTCGAAAAAAAATATTTTCTTTAATAAATTTCAATTTTTAGATTATAGATTCAATTTAGATATTTATGGAAATTCATATTTTGACAAACGTAATCAAAAATATTATTATTATTTACATTAAAAAATCCTTATCCTTATTCTTATTTCCTTTTCAATCTTTGATATCAATTTATTGAATTAATGTGTAATATCATGCAAAAATTTTATTATTTTCAATAATAAAAAGATTAGCAATTTCAATTATCTTTCCTTTTCATATAATTGGAAAATTAAATTTTTCCAGAAGAAAGGAATAATATTAAAGGAATGAGAGAGTAATTCATTCGAATCACAAAGTTACCTTTAAATGAGTGCTTCTGGGGGTTGGACACAATTGACTGTGCGTCTGACCATTGCTATAATGCACAGAGGTCTGGGAACACTTGGATGGCGTTCTTTCGAGGGTGTTACACTTTGTATTCAACGTCTCGGTGCTCGGATACGACACCGAGATTTTTATCTTCTCCCTTTTCACCGAGCACCGACTGTTCGACTCAGGACTCCTCGGACTTCCGTTGTTGCTCCCATTGTGCACGCTTCCTCGGCCACGATGGATCCTCAAGGTCAACCTCTCTTCGTCGAATCTGCAGCACAATTCGTTCGTAGCACTATTTCTCATAATCGATCGATAAGTATATTTATAAACTTTTTACTTTTTAAACAAATTAAAGATGACTTAAATTGTCTTTAATTTTACGTAGATTTTGTTATATTGTGTTATAATTGAAAAGTAATTAATTATAAAAAATTTCATATTTATGTAATATATAATTATTAATTTAATATTTCAAGATGTTGCTTATTTTTAATACAAATTAATGGTTGGTTAAGTGAGGAATTTGATTTTGACATTGTATGATAATTAATATGATAATTGAAAAGTGAATAATTTGATTTTTCTATTTGATAATTCTACAATTTGCAACAATTGATTTATTTAGTGAAATCACGAGCATGCGAATTAAAATTGATTTCTATAATTCAAAATTCTAATAATGAAATAATAAAAACAGTAGGTTTAATAATTCCTATATTTAATGATTAACTTAATTCTGATAATTTTATTGAATAATTCCTGTATTTAATAATGTTTAATAGTTACTTAATTCTGAATGGTTCTTTATTGAATCAGCCATTCAACAATCTAAATACGAGACTCAATTTTACCTAGAGCCAAACATTTTCGAACTCTTTGTCGTGCGGAAGCCTTGATTAATAGCCTTTGTGGTGGAGACGGCCGCGTTATAGATCCTCCAGTAGAAAAACAGCATGACCAACATCGGTATATAGAAAGAACCAAGAGCGCTGCAAATAAGTTTTTAATTTAGTACAGAAAAGGGGAAAGAGAGAGAGAGAGAGAAGGACAGAGTTAAAGAGGATAATTTCGTTTCAAGATAGGCGCTCATCCCTTGGGCATTCTTAGACGAGGATCGCGTTTAATGGAGCCACCTGTTAAGTCCCTACTTCGTTTTGTCTCGTTTCGCTTCTTAGAATCGACAGGATTAATTATAATTTTATTTTATTTTATTTTATTTTAATTTGTGTTATCGAGTTGTGGTATTTTATCAAGATTTTAAAAGACTCAAAATTGAAAAAGGAGTTGATCAAGGAGTAATTGAAGATTTTAATGAAAGATTGGATAGATTGTAAAATGGAGTTTAATTTTAAATTAAATGGTTGGTTGTTTCTTCTCTTATTTTTTTATATTTGCAATTTTTGTTATTCTTTTATTTCTTAAATTTTATTCAGATGAACATCCGGAAGAAGAGTGTATGTTACATTTTATATATAAAATTTACAGGAAAAATATAATTTATTGCACATTGCAAGAATTAAAGGAGGAGGAAAAATTTAAAGAATAATATTTTTCATAGTGGGACAAAGTTGTGTGTTATACCAGCTGCTTTTTTAATTATCCCAGTGAGCAATAAACTGTTTTTATTTTCCTGTAGATTTTATGAAATGTAACATACATATTTCTTTTAGCTACTCATTCATTTCTTTTTTAATTTATTTCTATTATTTTTTATTACTTCTTTCATTTTCTCTTTTTAATTCCTTTCTAATTTTCTTATCTTCCTTTTATTCTCTTTTTCTATTATTTTCATATTTGTACTATCTTTTATCATAACATTTCTTTTCTAATTTCAATTTACAATTTTTCACCTTTCCTATTTTAATTCTTCTTTCTATTTTTCCTTTTTGAAATATTTCATCTTTCATACCTTCTCTCTCTAAATTTTCTTTCTTTTTTATACATACATAATAACTTTTCATAGAAAGAAAGAATACCTTTATAAAATTCCAGAAAATGAAATAAGAGTATTTTGTATTATTATCTTTCATCGAAATTAATTTTTTAAAACAAAATGTGTTTTCAATTATACTATAAACAGCTTACTCTCTAAAACAAAATAGAACTACCTCTATGTTTTTCATTTTCTCTGTAACACATATTTCATCTTCACAATTGAAATGAAGAACAGGGGGAAGCATCGTATCGAAAACACAGTGGTGTGGCGGTAGGTTTCATTGAATTTCCAGTTTCGCTTTGACATATCTTTTTCTACACGAGGCCAGGATGGAAAGATACGAAACGCTCGCTCGCAGATAGCCTTGTAAACTTCGTGTCTATGGATAAAGCTACTGTTTGTCTACAGTATTGCTCTTTGTATCAGATAAGAGATCAAGTTGTGCCCCTTTGTTGACACACTCACAATAGATGCTGATGAATAGAGGGCGCTTTATCTTCTATCTTTCGATCGCCATGATGGAAAAAGCGAAATGAACTCTATGCTATGAAATTGCACGTGTCACGATCCAATGATGAATTTTATTGTGTATTTTAAGCGGGGAATTAATTTTGATAGATTTTATCAGGATACAAAAATCAATTTTCTCAAATTTGTAAATGGGATCGATGATTTTTATATTGAAAGAACTATATTTTAATTTAAAGATAATTTTAAGATTTGACGTAGCTTTAAAAATTAATTTTGATAGAATTAGAATTAATTAGAATTTATTAGAAATATTTAATATCGTTTAGACAGAAAATTAATCTTGATTTGAATATATTAGAAGAATAAATTTTAGAAATATTAGATATAGATTTTGAATTGTGACAGAAGATTAATTTACACGATATTTAATTGAAACATTACCGTATTTAAATATTTTAATAAAAGTGAAAAGAAATTTTCTCTTTTAAATACCAAAATTAAATTCAATACACCATTGTACAAAGAATATTAATTACTTTTCCTGATAGATTTTACGATATTGAATAAAAATATTTCATCATAAAAATCCAAGATTTTTGTCGTTTCGTTGAATTTTAAAAATCATTTGAACGATATAAATTCGTATTGTCGAACGAAACGAGAAGCTTTCAATACTACAACAAACGGTTTGTTACATCACCGATTATAATTCTTCTTTTCGAGGAATTTTACATTTACAGTGAAAAGGTTTGAATTATCACGGGCAAAGTGAAAATGATAACACGAGGGAACGAGGCACCGTAAATTTATCTGGCGCAAGGATGGAACATTAACCGTCTACTCAGTAGCTGATTTAGATGCAACGTCGGGCATAAACCGGCGTGGATTGATGAACACGCCGATCGCGATAACACGGTAAGAATAGACACGATGTTTGCCAGAAAATTCAGACCTAACTCTCCACGGCTTAATAATTTTCAAGGCGGATCACGTCCGCTCTATTACGCGTGTAATTTTGTATTCGTTGTATTCTTGTGTTACGTGATTTGATCATTCGAAAATATTGTTCGAGATCGGCCTGTTAGAGAATTGGAAATATTGGAAATTTTTGAAATTAGGATAATTGGAATTTTTGGAAGTTAGGATAAGGTTGAGATTTGATAGTTTTTGAAAAAAGTTGTTTACAAACATTGGTTAAAATAAATTTGGAGAGTTTATAATTTTTGAGAAAAGAGAATTTTTCAAAGAATTTTTCAAAATTTTTATCAAGATATTTTATTAAGAGATTTTTTTTTTTAGGGAAAGGAGTCTTGTGTAATGAAGTTCTGAAAGTTTTTGGAATTTTGAAATATTGAAATTTTAAAATTTCCATCAAATGGAATTTTTAAAAGTTTCTACTTCGAAAATCTTTCATTCCAATTAACAAGATCCCTCAAATTCGAATATTCCCCATTAATAATTCTGATTGACAAAGTTAATGTTGAAACCGTGGGATTAAGGAATCCAGGTGCAGGTGTTTCGAAACTCTGAAGCATCAAAGCGTCGGAATATCATAATATTTCAACTATCAAAGCCTCGAGGTATCATAACTTACAGTGTTAAAGTGGCGAGATGTCGAAATGTTCTAGTATGTAAGAAACGAAACTTTACGATCCTAGTCTCAGAACTATATTTTCTATTTCTGGGAATTCAAGTTGTAAGATTTACAGCACACATTTACTTTAAACTCTGACTCTAATTTCTATTATTTCAATTTTCCAAATTGAAACGATTCACACTAATTCCATCTTGTTTATTTTACAAATCGATTCAACTGTACGTCTAATTTTTTAATTTCTAAATTTCTAAATTTTTAAAATTAAATAAATTTACAAATCTCTTTCAAAAAATTAGACATACCAATTACTACAATCTCTTTAATTAACCAATTATCTTAATTAATGATCTCTTCCATTCTTCAAGAAATTCAAAACCTTAAAATTTTCATCCCAATTAGCTTGCAAATCCTTTTAAAAAGTTTCCTCACCTCGATCACCTCCATACTTTTCTAACAAGTAATCTTAATCTTCATTAAGATTCTTCACTCACAAATTTATAGCCCAGAGAATTCAAACACAAATTTTCACCCAAATTAGTTCACAAACTCTCTTCAAAAAGTGTAATTTATCTCAACTTTTGATTTCCTCTAAAATTATCCCATCCCAAAAATTCAAACATTACAATTTCCAATCCAATAGTTTTACAAATTAAGAAATCTTTACCAAAATATCTAATCTTCTCTGAAATTCCAAAAGAAATTCAAATTCTATAATTTTCATTCCAATCATCCTTATATTAATTGTCTCTCAACCTTCTCAACTTTCTCAAACTTCACAAAAACTCTTTCACTAAAACTCCTTTCCCCAATTCCTCATCTCTTACAAAATTCTCCACTCTCCAAAAAAGAACTTTTCAACCCCCTTTGAAAAATCTCTCTGAATGAAACAAAGAGTAAAAAGAAAGTATAATAATTCTTAAGTTTTGAGAAGACGATTCACAAAACTTTCTATAACTCACCTATAAACGACGTAGCCGGCATCGTTGGTCAGCTCGCAGATCCAAGGACACGGTTTCATGGGGACGAAGATGGTGGTGGTGTTGAACGGTCCGTTTTGAGCAAACGTCATGTTGTGCGCGGGATGAGACTGCGTGAACAAGATGGAAGAAAGTGGTAGAAAGTGGCAGACACGTTGCTAACGAGGGTACGAACTGTCGAAATTGGTGATAGTTACCCGTTTGTCTTTCCAGCCGACCAGGGGTGGGAAGCAGATGACGAAGCTCAAGATCCACACGGTTGCAACCAGCAGCCTTGCTCTCCTCGGCGACATGATCTGGATTTCGAAAATTCAAAATGGTTTCATGAGGCGATGACAACAGAAATTTAATTCGAAATTAATTTTTTGATATTTTTTTAACACGAAAATTTGATAATTTGAATTAACACAAAAGGGGAAAAATAATTTGTTAATTTGTGTGTTTATTTGATTGATATAAAATGGAAATTTAATTGAATTTATAAAAAATTAGGATTCTTAGAATAAATAAGAATAAGTTGGAAATTTTTTTAATTTTTATTAAAGTTAAAGTATCTTTATAATTGAAATATTTGAAAATTTGTCAAAATATTTGTAGAGATTCTTAGAAAATTAAAACTTTTTCTAGTTAAATTTTTTAATCTTTCCAAAGAATTTAATTAAGCTAATGAAAACTTGCAAAATTATTTTTCTTCAAACTTACGAAACAAAATTAGAAATCAATCATTCGCAATCATTTTTCTAATAATATCTCAATCTTTCCTATTTTTCCAATTTCTGGCAAGGATTAATAAAATTAATAAATCGAGCGTGTGAATTCAAACGTTTGACGATCGTCGAACAATTCGATCGATCAATTAAGCCATTCCAAGCTGGGAACGTCGAATTCATTGTCCATTCGACAGAAACAGAGGCTCTATATATAAGTGAGGGGAGTAACCAAGTAGGGGACAAATGGCTTCATCGAGCGTTTCATCGTACACCTGTTCCACGAAATCGAATAATCGGTAAATGGTACTTGCCTGAGGATAACTGACTGGCCTGGTCACTGCTAAGTATCTATCCAGGCTGATGGCGCACAAATTCAATATCGACGCGGTGCACATCCATACGTCGACCGCCAGCCAGATGGAGCACCATAGATCACCGAATATCCAGACCTTTGAAAGCCGAATCGCAGAGGAATCCATTAGGTTTCGAAATCTATTTTACGTCCCGGTTCGTCTTTCAATTGGCGAGACATTGTTCGCCACTATGCACTATTGCGTATAACGCGGATAATGAAATATATATTTCGTGGAAATTTCGTGTGATGTGTAAATTTCGTGTATTTTTCGATTTTCCAATTCTCAATAATAATAATCTTCTCAAACTGAAATTCGTTCGAATAAAATTCGAACGAATAAAATTCTTTCAAAGATTTTTGGGAAAATTTTTGGAAATTTTTGGAAACGAGCTATGATAATCGAAGGATAAAGAACGAGAAATAAATAAATAAAGGAATAAAATAATTGGAAAAGGATTGAGGATAGATTCTTTTTTTCTTTTGAAATACGAAAGCTAACCTAAAAATTGAAAGATATCCAAGCACTTTCCCTCTATATATCGTATAAATTTTCCACGATGGCTTTATGGTTTCTCGTTATCCTCTCGTTTCCCTCATTTTAGACGGACTTCAGCGTTGTTCATCCATCCACGTTTCGATACATCCCTCTATACCTGCCGTACAATACCTTTATCCATCCTTTACTCTGCGTTTCAATCTCCTCGAAACCAATAATCTTTTTCTCTCTCTCTCTATATATATATATATATATCCTATCCATACGAGCAAACTTGAGTCGAGAATGTCGCTCGAATTTATATATACGATACATAATGCACGAGAACGTGAATTTACGTTTTCAAACGAAGCGTTTTTCGAGACTTGTACATTTGTTGAACGTCGTGTTTCTTTTAACTGGTGTTTTTGGTTTGTTGAAAAAATATTTATAGATATTTATAAATTATGAATTAGGATGTATATTTGTTTACAATGAATTTTTTTATTTTATGTTATAATTTTCATAAGTATATAAGTATTTATATAGTTTAAGAGAGGATTTTTAATATCCATTCTTAATTTCTTAATTTATAATGAAATAATAAAGATCCGTCTAATTAATTAATTTCAATAAATGCTTAAATTTGACATCGAATCGTAATTTTTGATTAAATATAATTTAATTAATTAGGATAATTCGAAAATAAATTGGAATATTGGAGAAGTAGAAAAGTGGCCTTAATTGTTTTCCAATTTATCTTGCATTGTTCCAAGGTAAATTGAAAACTGATCAAGTGTACTCTTCCGCTTCTTATACCTCCTCTCCCGATATTTCAATCTTCCAATTTCCCTTCGAATCTTACTAATCAATTATATAATTTTAGTTTCAAGCATGGATGGAAAGAGGACGCTTAAAAATATTATAACAATTATATATTATTCTAAAATAAATTAACAATCGATCGATTATATATATATATATATATTTTTTCTATATCTTCTTACATCTCTTTTGTGAGATTTCAACCCTCTAATTTACCTTCAAATCTAATTAATTGTATACATTTTAAGCTTCATGTAATACCAATTATAATAATCCCAATATTAATATCCTATAATAATCATAATTATAACTATATAAAAAATTAATATAATCAATTACAAATATTTTCAATTCAAAAATTCTATAACTCTTTATATTAAATAAATTTTTATTTTCTATATATAATTTATAACAATTAAATTCAAAAATTTCTACTTTCTAATTCTAATTATCTATTTTTCCAACATACAGCCAATACAATTTATAACGATTTTCGCAAATTCCAAAAATAGAGAATCAATAAAATCAAAAACTCCTTCCAATACCTCAATACTCAACAATTTCGATTATATCTATCGACCTCGGCCATCACGAGACGCGTTATCTTCGTGCTAAGACGAGAAGCCGACACTTCGATCGAGCCTTCCTCCACGGGGTGTTGAGCATAATGCACCCCCATGAGCGGCAGCTGTAACCGCCTCGCGCTGTGCTGCGATTCAACCACCTCCCCGACGACGCCAACCACCTGTTTCGGAATTATCCTCGACCCTCCTGTCCACGCTCTTGTTCGATTCGATTAATCTAACCCTCCCTCTCCCTCCACTATCCACCCTCGCGATGCACGGCCGTTATTAATAACTCGACCATTGGTGTGTTTCGGGTTTAGTTTCGGGGGATGTTAATTAACTTGTTCGTCATAATCCTCGATTCGTTAATTTCGAAATGATAGAAATTCGATATCAGTCAGGTTAATTTGAATGGTAACACAGGGATCAATTGATCGATCATTTATTTATTTAATATTGTTTTCTTATCCTTTTCAGATTCAATTATTCAATTCTGTTAAAATAAATTAACAATCGATTATATATATATTTTTTTCTATATCTTCTTACATCTCTTTTGTGAAATTTCACTAATTTATTTATATTAATAAAATATATAATATAATTATTTATATTAACATATATTAATATATATTAATACGTTTAAATTTAATTAATTGTACAAATTTTAAGCTTCATGGAATGTATCAATTATAATGATCCCAATATTAATAGTAATATTCTATAATATTTATAAATATATAAAAAGTTAATATAATTATTTCAAAATATTTTCAAATCAAAAATTCTATAACTCTTTATATAAAATAAATTTTTTGCAATCTCATTTCGTGTACACTATTAAATAAATATTTAATATGAAGGCGTATTATTATTTTACCAGAAGATCATTGAAATACATAAAGATTCGAAATTATAAAATATCTCTCAAGATTGTAGTATTCAAATTCTTTGAATCCAAATTCCAGCCCCTTGAACCGTGGCAAGAAGCGCAACAATCTTCCGTTTCCTCGCCCCATCCCTCCCCTGAAATCCAACCCCCAAGAAACCTTCATCCTTCGGGGGTTGAATCACTACGAAAGGAAGGAAGGAAGGAAGCAAACTGTTGCGCCTAACCCACCCCTTCCCCTCTTTCCCTTCATGTTATTTCACTTCTTCGCGCTTTTTTTAATCTTTTGCCAATCTGGATCCTTCTCTGGATGATATGGCGGGGATGTGTGTATCGAAGG